TCACCTGGGTGTGAGCGCTGGAAGCGTGTCACCTTCCAACACGTGCAGGGCGGCACACGGGGCCAGCGTGCCTGCTTGGTAAGCAGGGTGTAAACGCAGGCTCCTCTTCTGCAGGCTGCCTCGTCCTTCCTTGCTTTGTTAAGGATCATTTCCGCGTTGGGAAATATTAAGAAAAGGGGAGTGTCCCTATTGGAGGCGGAGCTAATTTAGAAACAAAATTCTGGGGAAAAAGCCTCAGCTGCGCGTAGCAGAGGAGAAGAACAGGCTCGTGGGCTGGGTCGGAGCGGCAGATGGATGTGAATGGTTCTTGAGGCCAAAGCCCACCTGCTGCCTTGTGCTCTGCTCCTCTGGCTGTTTGTGCGCCCTGACGTGCAGCGATGTTTTAACTAAAGCCAGGTGTTTTAACTAAATACCGAGTGTGCAGTGCTTTAAGCTGCTTCACAGCTGGGGAGGATGGGGGCTGCGGGTGGTGAGGTTCGTGGTGCTGCTGCTCCACAGGTCCCAGCCTCTCTGTGTTCCCAGGCTTTGAGCTTCAGAAGAAGGAATCATCTTACTGCCTTTCCTGCCCCTCCGGCCTGCCTGTGATCAGGACGTGGCCGGCTGTTCCTCCCGGCCCTGGAACGGCTGCAGTGCTCGTGGAAGTGCTGCTGCTGGGGGGGTGAGCACAGAGGCCGTGTTCCCCTGCACCCAGGTGAAGCCACGGCTGTTTTTTACAGGCAGGGCTGGGTGCTCCCTGCAGGTCTGTGTTGGGTGCTGATGCTTCCCTGGTCAGGGGGCTGAGGGTTTTGTTTCAGCTCCGTTCCACACTGTCACAGCATTCTGGCAGCAAGCTGCTGGATGGCATGCGTTGGTTGTGTGCACAACGGAGAATTGGGGGCCTGATCCTGTGCACGTCAGCTTCTCATGCTGGTAGTGCAGTTGAGCTGTTCCCTTTATTATTTTCAGTTTTTTTTTATACACACTTAGAAATGACGGTGCTTTGGCAGAGGCAACTTGGACTGGTGCACTGGAGCTGGAGCTGTGCAAAGGTCTCTCACGGGTAGTTTTTGCCTCCATCCCCCTGGACCTGTACCCTTCCGAGCTTTCCCTGAGCTCCGTTTTGCTTCCTAATTTTGCCAGCATCGTTTTCATGCTGATCTGTGTTGTTGGAGAGGCGTCACCACCCACTCCTGCTCGCTGCTGCCCAGCCGGCGCGCTGTTCCCACTCCGAAAATTTGCTTTTCTTAGTCACAGCCTGGAGATCCCCGGCAGCTTGTGGGAGCAGGAGGAAAGCCACTCTCGGGAAGGAGAAGAGGCTCGGTTGTTTAAAGAACTTCAAAGTTTTCATGTTCCCACTTTGATCTTCTGCGGCATCTGGGATAGGTTTCTTTCTTCTTTCTCTGAATTCCACACCCCGGTGTAGTTCCCAACGTGCTGGCAGAGTGCTTGGAGCTGAGCAGGTTAGTACGAGGAGGAGCTGCTGCTTCCTGGGACAGCCACCAAGAAGGAGCTTTAAGGGCTGAGGACGTGCTCCAGGTAACAGAGGGGATGGCAACGTGCAGCAGGCTGTTAGCTCTCAGCTGCTGGGATGTGAGGAGGCTCCGGCCGTGTCCCTGCTGTGAGGCTGCTGCCTGCCCTGCTGGCAGCACACCCCAAAAACCTCCCGCGGCCCTGGTGCTGTTGGCATGGGAGCCACCCTCTGCAGCCAGCACCCGTGGGAGATGCAGCCCTGCCGGGGCAGGAACTGGCAGCAGGTTGCAGCAGCGCAGGAATGCCTTTTCAGAAGAGGGCAGCATTTCTTTGTCAGCCAGCTGAATGCATCCTTGGGTGAGCTCCGAGAAGGCGGGCAGAGCAAGCAGGAGCACACGAGCAGCACAGCCTTGCTCTGGCCCCAAGCCCCCATCCTCTGGGTACTGGGGTTAGCAGCTGGGACTCGGGCACCCTACAGAAGTAGCTCCCACCCTTTTTCTGCTCCAGGCCTCCTGGCTCGGCTGTTTGTCCCCCGACTCCCAAAGCACCAGATTTGCTCCCCAATGCTGCAGCTTTCCCAGCACGGCAGCGGCTGGGCACCGCCGTGCACCTCGAGCATCCCTGCGGTACCCACAGCTCCCCCTCGCCCAGCCGCTGTGTCACACCCGTGCTGTGGAGCTCCTGGCCTTCTCATTGCCCTGGTCACCTTCTACAAAGCCATGGGGTTAATCTTGGTCCTTGCCAGCTGCCTCTGAACCAGAAGGCACGTCCTTTTCATATTTTCTCCCTGTTGTTTTTTTGGGGGAAGGCCAGCCCTGCAGGCCCATCGCTCCCTGGGCACCCCAAGATCTCTGCATCCCCCCACCTGGAGAGGCCCAGCAGGGAGAGGTTTGTTCTCCCCTTTTGGGACCTCCACAACCTGCAGATGTCTGTAACGAGCTTTTCATAACAAGATGGCCCTTTCCTCTTAGTCAACTGAAACGTGGTGCCCCCAGCTCCCTGTGTTCCAGTGCAAAGCGAAGCTCACATGCATGCCCATCCTGGCAGCTTGCTTCTTGCATCCCTGGCACTCCTTGCCCGTCTCAGATTGCAGCTTCCCCTGGCACGGGATGGCTGCGCTCAGGTCCCTTGGCATGGCTGCGAGCGCTGTGCCTCTGCTGGCTGGCAGCTGCATCCCAAGGAAATCTGCCACCATCTCCTCGGCTGTCTGGAGCAGCCACAGAGCCTCCTCCATTTCCCTCTGCCCCCCAGAAAAACACCTCCTGCGTCCAGCCAGCGGGTGAAAGGGGGGACACGCCGTGTCAGTGACGGGCTGTTCCCCCCCTGCTTTGTATTTCGACAGCTGCTGCGGGAAAGCCGGGCTGCAGCCAGCTCTTAGGATGCCTCCAAGGTTGGGCTGGTGTCAGCGCTGCCTCCTCCCTCGGCCATCCCATTATTGCTCCTGGTCGTTCCCAGCTGTCCAAGCTTGTCTCTGAGCAGCCTGGCAGCCCCTCGGGACGCTTTGCCTCTGAACCCTCCTCGGTCCTTTGTGGGCCTGGGGTGGAACATCTGGAGGGAGGCTGGGACTGACACAGCTCGGCTCGCCAGGGGCACCGCGGAGGGGCAAGGATTCAGGCAGGACGGGAGGGGAGAGCTGAGCTGTGCCTGTGACCGCTTACGGTGATGGTCAGGGGCTGGGGGGCTCCAGCACCCAGCTGTAACTGGGGACAGGGCAACGCTGAGCAGCCACACAGCGCCCCAAAGCCGGGTGGGGATGAAGCCGGGCGGGGATGTTCCCTGCAGGGCTGGTGGGGCTGGGGGGGTCCTCACCAGGGCTGGAGGCTTGGATGCAAAAAGCCCTTTTAAAAGCAGGGGGAGCGCCCAGCAGCACGGTGCTTCGCTCAGCTGCCCGCTCCGATTCCCCTCCCTGGCTCCACAAAGGGCTCTGCCGGCTGCCGAAATGGCCAAAATTTTTTTTATTTTTATTTTTTTAATTTTTTTAATTTTTTTTTTTTTTCCTCTTTTCCATGACCGCCAAGACCGGGGGGACGCGGGGCACCCCCGGCACGGGGCGCTGCGAGCCCCGGGGCTGAGCGGGGGCACGGCCGGGAGCGCGCCCAGCGCCCAGCGCGCACCCCGCAGCCGCGCGCACGCGCCCCGCCGCGGTGACGTCACCCCCCTCCCAAACCACGCGCGCTCCCGCCCCCTTCCACCCCCCCCCCAACCCCCCCCCCGGCGGTGTCGCGCCCGCGCTCGTGCCCGCGCTCGGCGGCGGCGCCCGCCCCGCTCAGCCGCCGGGGCCGGTGCCGGGGCCCGCAGCCGGGGGTGAGTGCTGGGGGCGGGGGGGTCCCGGCAGGTGTGGGGGGGCCGCTGGGTGCCCGCCCCGAGCCCCCCGGCGGGAGGGAGGCGGTGCCCGCGGGCAGGGGGCTTCGGGCGGCGGCACCGGGGCTGGGGGGGATCCGTGTGCGCGGGGAGCCGGAGGGGTTGGGAGGGGGTCCCGGGGGGTCTTAGGGTCCCGGGGGGGGTTTTAGGGTCTCGGGGGTGCCCCCCTGCCCGGGGTGCCCCGTGGGTTTCGGAGCTGAGCCCCGTGGTGGGCACCGCGGCACCGGGAGCTCGGGGCAGGCGGGGTCCCGCTGGGTACCCGGGGGGGTGACAGCCCCGCAGGAGCCTTCAGCCCCCTGTGGGCATCCTCCTCCTCCTCCTCCTCCTCCTCCTCCTCCTCCCGGCCCCGCTGCTGCCCCAGCCCCGGGTCCCCGAATCCCCGCGGGTGCGGAGCCAGAAGTTCCCCTCGCTGCCCGGAGAGCCTTGTCCTAAACCCATCGCTCCTTAAGGGATGAGGAGGGGGAAGAGGAAAAGAAACCCAACACCAAACGCCAGGTGAGAAGCAAACAAATCAAAGCCAGCCTCCTATTTACTGCTGGAGGAAGCTGCAGGGTACCGATAACTCCGGGTATCTGGGCTGGGACTGTGACCTCGCTGTGTTTTACAGCTCGGGGGAGGCAGCAGGCGGCTTCAGCCCCTTTATTGTTTCCTCTTTAACTCCTCGCAGTAACGCGTGGCACAGCAATGCCCACGCAGCCTTGGGGCCCTGACCCAGCTCTGGGGGTGGCCAGGAGGAGGCTGTGGGGCTGCGTTTTGTTCCTGGCACAGCCTAACCCGTGGCATCCCCCAGTGAGACTGCAGACGGTTGGGGTTTTGGGGTTCAGCCTCCCCAGCTCTTGCTGCTGTAAGGAAGCCGGGGCGATCTGAAGCCCCCGAGTCCCTCCCGGTACCACCTGGCTGTCAGTGGGATAGGTGCTGAGCCAAACCTGCCCGCTGTGGGTTTCTGCCTCCCATCGGGTGGGGGGTGCTGCGGGGAGCCCTGGGGCGGGCAGTGGCAGCGCTCGGGGGGCTTTAAGGCTGCGCAGCAGCAAGCTTTTCCTTTCCCTATCCAGACCTCCTCTTCTCCCCTTCCAAAAATGTGCTGCCTCCGTGGATGTGAGCTCTGCTATTTTCTTTATCTCCTGCTCTGGTTACTATGGTGCTGGTGAGTGAAGCAGCTCCGCCAGCTACCCTGGGAGCTCGTAAAATACCTCAAAGTTGGTGTCCCCTCGCTGCTGAGCAGGGAGCGCCGCGTCCGGCCCTTACCGAGCCCTTCCCCGTTTGCGTGGCCTGCTGTGGAGTGGGTCTGGAGGCTGGGCGAGGTGCTTGGGGAGCCTCCTCCGAGGTCTCCAGCAAAACATCGACCTCAGCAGCGTGAGGCCGGGGCTTGGCTTCGCTCTTATCATCGCCGACCTCAGGGCTGGCCCTGGGAGAGCTGCGTGCATTCCCCTCCCCAGGCACTGGGCCGCTTGTTTCCTGCCTGGTGCAGACAGGGCTGTAGCTCACTCGGAAGGCTGTCGGGAATGGAAACAAATAATTTAGAGTCTGTGGAAATCCGTGCAAACAAAAGGCAGAAGATGGGAACAGACGTTTCCCCCGGCGCCGCCGTCCTGCTCGGCCCTTCCAGCTTGCATAAGCGCCCGAGCGAACCCGCGGCTGCTGGTTTGGGGCCGCCTGCCTCGCTGGGGCAGGCCTCGATCCCCACCTCTGACACTTTGCCTTTCTGTCTTTTTCTACCTGATTCGCATGGAAAAAGACACGAGGGGAGATCCATCCCACGGGGAGGTGCTGGGAGTGGATCCCCAGTTTGCTCGCTGTCCGTGCAAGTTGCTGTCGCCCTCCTTCTTGCAGGGAGCTGGCCTGGCTCTGGAATACGGGGATTGCTCGGGGCAGCAGGAACCCAGCGCCAGGTCTGGGTTCCTCCCTCCTCGCCGGGGCACAGATTTGTCATTCCTGAGGGTGATTCACCCCGTCCAGACTCTGATTCACCCCCGGAGGTGCTTCTCCCTGCGCATTAATTAAACAGGAGCCTGGGATGATGATGATTATGACTTAGACACCTGTTCCAGGTGGAATAAATCTAGGTCCTGATGCAGAGGCTCATCTGGAGGAGATCCTGCTTGCTGTGGGACTAGCAGTAAGATGATGGGGAAGGTCTGCAGCATCTCTTGCCCTCTTTCAGCTGTGATGACTTTCTTGCTTTGTTGAGTCGGAGAAGGGTGATGTTTCTAATTAAAAAGAAGAAAAAGTCATGTACTTCTCCCATTCTTTGTTTGTTTTCTGGTGTGTGTTTTTTTTTTCCTTTTCTCTGGACAAATGTTCTAAATAACAAAGCTTAAAATGCAGATGGAGCGAGTTTGCATGAAGTGAAATCACTGGGAAAGCCTTGTTTGGCTGAGGGCTGCGGTGGACGCGGAGGAGCTGGTGATGACATATGGCACAAGAGTAGAGCCCAGGCGGTTTGTTTGTCACCAGAGGCAGCCACAGTCGCCGCAGCCACGGCTCATCTTCACGAGGAGGATGCTCCCATACGTTTCAGAACCTCCATCAGCTCTCCAACCTGAAGGACCCTGTGATCCTTTCCTCTCTCCTTTCAGAGTGGCGTACTGCTGCCCTCGCCTTTTCCTATGGAGCTGATAGGGAGGTATTTAACCAAACTCCCTTTATCTGTGTCCTCTTCACTCCTTATTCCTACATTATTTATTGTACATTGAAACATTGGGAAGTGAGCCTTGTAAGCTGTGCGTTCAGCTTCAGGGATGGCTCTCGCATCACTCCCGATGGCAAGCACCACGCTCGCTGCCCCAGCCAGGCCCCCCGTGTGTTTCAGCACTTGCTTGGAAAAGCAAACAGCCTGCTGTTAGGGTTGTGGAGTTTCCATTTGGGTTCCACCCAAATGATCCCATCCAGTAACGCTCAGAAACTCAGCCTGGGTAATAGGGCTTCGCTTGCTTTCCTCTGAGCAGGTCATTTTGGGGGAGAGACCTCGAGGGAGGCTGTTCCAGGGGAAGAAGAGCCTTGTAGCTTTTTTTTTTTTTTCTTAATACAAAGATGCTTGAGAGGGCCATGTCAGGAACAGGGTGGGGAGAGAGCCTTGGAATGTGGCCTGCGGAGTGTCCTTCACACGGAGCAGTGCCTGGCTGGGGCAGGCTCCAGCAACGAGCACTTCAAAACTCACCGAGGCGAGAGGCTGTTGAGAGGGACATCCAGTTTGGTGAGGCAAGGAGGCTCGCTGCTCTCCATGGCAGCGTCTTTAACTCTTCCTCTCCTCAGGAGCTGCCTTGAGGCTGTTTCCAGACTGGCTTTTTTGTGCTACAGGTACAAACAGCGTTATTTGCTCCCGTGAGGAAGATGAGGAGGCTGCGTGGGTTGTTCGTGGACCCGTGGCTCGGCTTGGGGGCTGCCTTCAGCCAGGTGTGTGCTCTGCTCCGACGCTTTGATAAAGAGAGAGGTTTCCGTGACACTTAGAGAAACATCTCTTGGAAATAGGTCAAGCAAATATTTATTTGCCTGAGGTGTCATGCCAGTGGTGCACAGACACTCTAGTCATTCTGTTTGTTCCCGCTGTTTCTTTTCATGCATAATCAGTGCTCTCTGGGGGAGCGCATAAATGCAGGTTAATGGCTGTGTGTGACCAGAGTCAAGCTGGTGGTCTCTCCTCATCTGAAGCCTGTGCATCTCCTATGGCCTTACCCCTGTGGCGTTGCAAATCAGAAGCTGTGTTGGTGAATGTCTGAGGACCCAGGGTGGTTATTACGTTTTTGGTGAATGTCCGAACGGACCCCCAGTTTTGGTGAATGTCCGACTGGTTCAGTACTCTGAATCCAACCGGGCCCGTAACAGTTAATCAGCTACACCCTCTTTAACGCGACACCTGGGCTGGCCTTAGAAGCTCGGGGCAGAGAGGTGATAAGTCCAAGGAGCTGCTACGTACACCACATGCTCACTTCTATCAAAGCCACATTCCTCACTCAGAAGAGCACATTTAAGTCTCCCCAAAACAGGGGGACAAAGCCCTCGCTAAGATGAGAGCTCCCCAGTCCTCACACCTCGCCCCTGCTGCCATTGCCCAGCTCCCAGGGAGCTCCTGCCCAGGGGCTGTGCTGCCTGAAGCCACAGGCTGGCGGAGGACACCCAGGCAGCTCTACAGCACCATTTTCACATGCTCTGATATTGCATAGCTTCTGCTTTTTGTTAGAAAAAACACCTGCAAGGAAAATTTTGCCTGCTGTACGGTCATCACCCTACCTGCTCATACCCAGAGCAGGAGCTAACCCCCCTCTGCCACACTCAAGCAGGCACGTGGAAGAGATGCATGTCTGCAAAGCTGGAGTTTGCATGGTCCCTGCTGGGCATCACAGAACAGCACACATACAGCAGGCTCTGGCGCCCCACCTCACCCCAAGGAGAGGAGGGCACACAGGACAGCCACCCCAGAAGGACCACAGAGACCCAAAGGAGACCTCCTGCTTCACCAGCAGGGCCAGCCCACGGCACAGCCCCCAGAGCACACCCAACAAGCGCTTACCCAGAGGGACGAGCCCTCTGTCCCCGCAGGCACCCAGCCTCTCTGATCTGCCCTGCAGCAGCTTAGCCCTGTCCTGTTCCCAGACATCCCTGTAGGAGGGGATTGCATGTCTCCCCCCACTCCTCCCCTGACTTGCCAGGAATAAAGCAAAGCCCACAGGCACCTCACGGCAGCAGGAAAGCACTGGCTGGCTCCAGAAGCATCAGTGCCTCTGTCAGCATCGGTGCCTCCATCAGCTCTGCTCCAAGCCCAGGTCATGGGGCCAGCCCTGGTGGCACTGAGCTGCTGAGCCCAGCTTCCCTGCTGTGTTGCAGCACACAGCAGGAACAGGAGGGAGCTCTCTGTGGCAGCAGGGGGGATTTCTGGAGAGAAGGAGCCTCTGATCAGCCACAGTGCAGAGAAAGTTATGATTTGCAGAGATAATGAGTGGACAAGGCAAGAGAATGGGTTTTGAGGACACCACCCCCAGAAAGAGCAGGGTTGTAGCCCCTCACCCACAGCTCCTGCAGAGGGGACAGCCCCCCCAGGGGTGACACGGCCACAGCCCACCTCCCCAGCTGAGGACCCCCAAAAACACCCCAGGCCCCTCAGCACCTGGCTCTGCCCCAAGCAGCACCCCCCTGTCCCTGCCTGTCCCCAGCACCAGGCAGGTGGCACAGGGACACCCATCCCACAGCTGACACACCCCACAAGGAGCAGCACCTTTCCCCTGCTCCCCATCCACCACACAGCTCCAAGCTGCCCAGGACCTTCCCCTTACCTTACCAGGCACCTCAGCACCCTCTCAGCTTTAGGGCAAACCGACCAGGACCCCCTGGAGCTGCTCCGCACCACCTGTAGCGCCCAGCTCCGCAGCTCCTCCTCTCCCCACCACTTCCTTCCTCTCACCTGAGCCAGGGGAGGGCCCCAGCTCCCAAACAGCACCCAGCCCCTGCCACGGGTCTCCTGCTGAGCCTATGAGGGCTCCCGGGAGGTTTTGAGGGTGGATCTGGAGATGGGGAGCAGCTGTGTGCCACTGCAGCTGCTTTGCTCCGGCTGCCTGTTGCTGGCGGAGCCCTGTTCCCCCATCCTTCCCCAGCCAGCATCCCGCAAGGCTGCTGCAGCCTGACCCCAGGGCTGGCGTTCCCCAGGAATGTCCTTATTTCATTTTCTGGACCAGATCTCTGAGTGTTTAACCCCTTGGGGCATGAACTGGATGAAGCCCCAGCTCTCAAGACCCTGGCAAAGACTGCATGAGCCCTTGAGGCTGGGGTGGTGTCTCACTATAGAGCATGCACCAGGTGCTAATTCCTCCTGCTCCATAGGGTGATGGGGGTTGCTGCAGGATCATACAGGCTGGGACCACAAAGGGTGGGCAGGGAAATAATTGCTGCATCGGGCCCTTAATTGCTGCAGGATATAAGAACTGGGCTGGGAGGAAGGTGGGCTGCTGGTGGGGAGGGATGAACCTTCACTAGAACCTAGTGGGGGAGATTTAGGGGGAGTACATTTAGCTGTTCCCAGAAAACTGGGAGAGTGGATTTTGGTGAGATGTTTCCCTGCAAAACCTAGGACTGGTAGCAGGCCAAAAGCTTCCAAGGGAAGACTGCCTGACCTAGGGGTGTGTGCCCCAAGCCACAGCCATCCTGAGCCCAGCCTCCTGCTTTTTCCAAGCTCTTTAAGTGTTGCTAAACAACCCCCCCTGGAGAAGTTAAAGGAGCTTTAAGGGCTGAGGACGTGCTCCAGGTAACAGAGGGGATGGCAACGTGCAGCAGGCTGTTAGCTCTCAGCTGCTGGGATGTGAGGAGGCTCCGGCCGTGTCCCTGCTGTGAGGCTGCTGCCTGCCCTGCTGGCAGCACACCCCAAAAACCTCCCGCGGCCCTGGTGCTGTTGGCATGGGAGCCACCCTCTGCAGCCAGCACCCGTGGGAGATGCAGCCCTGCCGGGGCAGGAACTGGCAGCAGGTTGCAGCAGCGCAGGAATGCCTTTTCAGAAGAGGGCAGCATTTCTTTGTCAGCCAGCTGAATGCATCCTTGGGTGAGCTCCGAGAAGGCGGGCAGAGCAAGCAGGAGCACACGAGCAGCACAGCCTTGCTCTGGCCCCAAGCCCCCATCCTCTGGGTACTGGGGTTAGCAGCTGGGACTCGGGCACCCTACAGAAGTAGCTCCCACCCTTTTTCTGCTCCAGGCCTCCTGGCTCGGCTGTTTGTCCCCCGACTCCCAAAGCACCAGATTTGCTCCCCAATGCTGCAGCTTTCCCAGCACGGCAGCGGCTGGGCACCGCCGTGCACCTCGAGCATCCCTGCGGTACCCACAGCTCCCCCTCGCCCAGCCGCTGTGTCACACCCGTGCTGTGGAGCTCCTGGCCTTCTCATTGCCCTGGTCACCTTCTACAAAGCCATGGGGTTAATCTTGGTCCTTGCCAGCTGCCTCTGAACCAGAAGGCACGTCCTTTTCATATTTTCTCCCTGTTGTTTTTTTGGGGGAAGGCCAGCCCTGCAGGCCCATCGCTCCCTGGGCACCCCAAGATCTCTGCATCCCCCCACCTGGAGAGGCCCAGCAGGGAGAGGTTTGTTCTCCCCTTTTGGGACCTCCACAACCTGCAGATGTCTGTAACGAGCTTTTCATAACAAGATGGCCCTTTCCTCTTAGTCAACTGAAACGTGGTGCCCCCAGCT